AAAATATTACCAAAGAAAGTCAGTGGTTTGAGCATGATGGTAGACCAGGTTAAGAAGAAACAAGAAAACCATCAAAAACAAGAAGAATGGCAGCTTGTAGCGAAGGTCTTCAACAGGCTATTCATAGTGATTTACATCATTACTGTTATTCTTACTTTAGCAGGGATATTCTYACAGATCCCTCAGATGTTGGGACGGAGCGAGGTTCATACTGATATCAGTGTTTAAACGATCATTCGCACTACCCTCGTCATTAGGGTGAGGGGGTGGGGGACGGGGGGATGAGTGTCTGTCTCCCGCCGAGACCCTGTTCACTAATATCAGTCACATACAAAAATCGTGATCCGTTGACATCAACAATTATAAATATTCTTTTGTTATTGTAGTCGTAGAAACGAGGCTTATGGGTAAATATAATGCGAAACAGACCCAAACGAATGTAATATTTGACATTTTGAGTTAATTTTGAGCAAATTTGTTGATTGTAGTTGGATCCTTTATTCAAAATCATAAATGTTTGAAAATTCTTTCTTAAGCATTTAATTAAGTAGCTTAAAGTTGGCACATTTTATTTGCTTTTACAGATAGATAATCCACAACAGGGAACGTATTCATTTCTCTGGCGCATGCGCGTGAAAAAATTTCTTATTGGTTACTTTTTGAATTGGTTCCTATGGAAACTGCTTTGATTTGATATTGGCTMGTCATATATTCTCACACCCTTTTCAAAATAGAATATACATATGGAGTTTTCATAAATGGAAGATTTTTCAGCACTTTTCATCAAAAAGACCCTTTTAAGGGCACGCTTTTCATAATAATAATTTAATAAATAATAATAAACTATCTACATTCGTGGAATATCTTTTTTTATTTATCATTGTTTACGATTCAGGAAAAACTTTCTTGGAGATTTACAGAAAAAAAAGAAAAAAAATCTATTTATCTGATATAAAGTTTTGAAACATTTTACTGGCTTCAACGTCACTCAAAGAGATAATTTATTCATTTCCCATGAACTTTGTTCCGACTTTGTGAGCTTGGA